CTCATGAGGCTAAACCTTCATTGAAAAATCGAAGCGAATTCTGTCAAGGTTTGTTACTTTGCCAGCCATGTCAATGAAGCGCGTAAATACAAAATTGAGCGGGTAAATTCGTTTTGACGCGCCTGTCCCTGACGGTGCGTCTAGGATATTCGCGATAATTAAAATGTATTTCCACAGATTTAAAAAGCATGCTTTGACTGACAGTAAAATAATTTCATTCGACTCCAGTACGGTGAGCTCCGCATTCATTAAGAGCTACTCTTTCATTGAAAAACACTTAATTTTCAAGGAAAACTCAGAATCTCTCCTGAGTAAACATGACATGACTCCCTTATTACGGTGGCCTAAATTAAAAAATATAAGTATTACTTCCCGATTTTTGCGAACCTGTACCTTTTTTTCAATATAAAGAAAGTAATTCTATCAAAGAGTCGCCCAATAAAGTTTTTTCTCCTTTTTTATTTTTATTTTTTCATTTTCTTTAAATTTCTTTAACATTTTTTTTTTTATTTTTATCGGTCGAATGACGTATTAATGAGGTTGCGAAAGTTTGATGTAAGGCCGATGCAAGTGTCGAGACGATATTGCAGCATAGACAAAAGCAAATTCACGGAAGTGTAGATCTCTCATACCTCCAGACCCTTGAGGTCCCTTTAAATTTCTCAATTTTTAGAAATGTGGGATCTTGTCAGAAATTCAACTTTGCTCTGACCGAGATTTCTTTAATCAACAAAGTCTCGTTACATTATCTTTGCCTGCGTTATAGAACCAAATCAATCGACATCGATTATTGATTTAAAATAAAAAATGAAAAAAAAATGATATTGATATTAATCGATTATTAGTATTTGAGGAAAATTCAAGTCCTTGTAATAACAAAAATCATTAGTGATGCCAGACGAACACATGCATTATTAATTAATGGATTGGTGGTAATGATGGACTGTCAAATGATAATTTCCTCTCAATATGCATGAGTCTGCTCTGGTAAAGGACCTTGCTGCAGATTAGAGAGGAACAATCCGCAAAAAATTGAAATTCTTTAATCTGCGCGAGGAAGCGATGATCGCGCCGGTTGTCACACGAGGATAATCGGCAAGATTTTGCTTTTTTCGCAAGTGATGAGACAAAAGAGGAACGAGGGTCATTGCGACTGAAAAGAATAAATAATAGAAAAATTTTCCAAAAATTGCGGTGATGAGCTCCCTTCCGTCTGGAGCGGAAGTTGCGCCACAAAACAATGACTCCTCGCTTGAGTGCGTTTGAGGCGGGTCTAAAAGCTGTCTGCAGATGGTAAAGTCATCGCGCCTCTAACGAAAGACTGTACTTTGAATTTGAGATGGACCTCATTGCCCATATAACTCCATACACTACAGGGTTCACGTGAAAATTGAATTACATCCCTTTCGGCCGAGGAGCGACGAAAAGTCGTCAGTTTTGCACTGGTCTTGTTTTCATCATTGCTGGGTTTCCTATAATTTATTCAGGTATTCTATTCCATTGAAACAGTCGTAATTATAACGCTACTTACAAGGACTGCGATTTTTTCACTTCAAAAATAATCGATGAGCATGTGACTAAGTTCCGCAAAATGTAACACGGCAACATCAATTCAGAACCGATGAGAAACAAAGTTCAAAGCTTTGTTGCTTCATAAGACTCAACATCACAGGTCAATTTCGATTCCTATTTTAAAATTCAAAATATTTTTTGATGACTTTGATTTTTCGAAGAGAGAGAAAAGGTACGATCAACGATACTCAGCACTTCTAACTGAGGATTTAAGATTCCCGGGAAACTCAAGTGCCGGCGATGAGTACAAGCATTCCCAAAAAAATTTCGGGGACATTCCTGAGAACGCTCCTGTCGGTTCTTTAAAGTGTGAGTGATTACATTGTAAATCTGCGTGTGTTAGTGTGTATCTGTCAAAATTCTCCGGGGCAAGTGGTTTCTAGTCGCGCATTCCTGGGAAAGGAGTTTTTAGAGATCATGTATTTTGTTGGGGAATCATATCAAACATTTTCTTTTATATATATGCAATGCCTCATATACTAGGAAATCAAAAATTTGTGTGAAGGAAAATATATAAGTTCAGAATTTATCTATCGATCAATTACTATGATCATACACTTGCACCTTTGAAGTCCGTGATTGAATTTTGATCCACTTTACAGAAGTTTGACCGAATCCAGCAACCTTACCCTAGTTGAGAGTAAAGGTCACCATACGAACACCTGCTGTTAAGGCTGTGAGAATTTTAAAAGTATTCATTCAGTAAGACCATGTGATTAAAGCTCAGCTGAATCAAAGACTCGTGCAATTTATTTAGCATGAATAAATCTCCTCAAGAACATCAGGTCTACTGGGAAAAAAATCTCTGCATTCGCAGTTCGCACAGAAAGCCACCTATGCGGGAGATCAGGGCCACGGCCGGCGCAAATTTAGCTAGCGGCGGCGGCTGAATTTCAGCGCCCATAGACGAAATTTTAGCCTCGCAAAGGTACAGAGGAGTCCCGGTAAGGACAACAAACATGCCCCCCCCCCATTAAGTTTAAAGCGGGGTGCCTTGGGGGGGGGATTATTTTTGAGAGCCCTCATTCAACTCTGAATACCTAAATGCAAATGTGCAATCAAATGCATTTCAAAAATTCTGTATCATGTCTTCATATCTAGAATGAAGCAGCATCGTTTCGATGATTTGAATAAGCAGGATAGTAGGTGAGACAGAAATAAATCAATGGGAAAACTTTTAAAATAATGAATAAAGAAAAATCAGTCGCTTTTCAGTATAGATATCTTGACACATATCTTCAATTAATTTGATCTCACTGGACCAGTTTTTTTTTTTTTTTTTTTTTTTTTTTTTTTTTTTTTTTTAAAAAAATGGGAAAATAGAAATAGAAAAAAGAATAAAAAATAAAAAGATAAAAAAAGAAGACGCAAACTTTGCGCGGCGAGGGTAGAGTTTGTAAAACTTTTCACGAGGGAACTCGATGGTTTTATCCCACGCAGCAAAATATGTTAATCCCTCATTACATGGCATTTATCGATGTTTTATGCATTCACAAAATTATTAACATCTTATTATGAATTAAGGTCTCTTTGCATAGCGAAAGAAATGCCGGGACGGCGACGAAAAAACCGGGAATTTTCAAAGGCTTTCCAATGTCCAGTAATCTTAACGTTTTCTGGCAATTTCAATTTCCTGGGACATTTTGTTAGGTGCGCTAAAAAAGTAATGAAAAATCTGAGTATTTTCAACGATAGGTACACTGGAAAAAAAAACACATTGGATCTAGAGTCCAGACTCTTGAAAACATCGACAAGAAAAAGTACTCTTGATTCAATCAGAATCTAGCTTAAATCAAGAACCAAGCCTCTTAATTTAAGCGGATTTCGTTTTGATTCAAGCAAAAATCTGATTGAATCAAGAGTATTTTTTCTTGTCAATGTTTTCAAGAGTCTGGACTCTAAATACAATGTGTTTTTTTTCCAGTGTAGGTACCATGAAAATCTGTCATTTTACAAAAGTGTTTCCTTGGTAAATTAAGGAAATCCAACCCATGACAATGCTATACATAATAAACTTTTTTAACAATAGTTTTCCAGCCAGTTTTGATTTGATGCAGGTGGTTTTCTTCGCCTGATAATACGTGATTTTTTAAGATTTTAACTTTTTTTTCGAAAGAGGTGAATACGAAAGAGTTTATTGAAATCGTGCAACTTCAATTGATCACTATTAGGTACCGGCCTAATTCAAAAAATTAAAAAAATTTGGTGAAAATCTATTCCATATTTAATCCGATAGCCGCAGATTTCTAATAATAAGTAATGGTTAAAATTGCATTCGAACCACAGGAGACTATCTTTGAAAAATCTTTTTCAATTGGAGACAAAATAAGAAAGAAAGAAAAAAGTCGAAAAAGTGGGTAAATGGGCACTACCAGTGTATGAAACCTTGCAGGAAAACTTGTCGTAGGAAGAATTTTTGAAAAAAATTCGGCCACTCACCAAAAACTTAAGCAGAACCAAAAGGAGAACGCCGGCACAAAAGGTCTCTTTGTTGCGCGCGTACAGATATCAACAAACGGTCCAATAAGCACAGATCTCAGCAAAACGACAGCTAATTCGAAAAAACAAAATGAATGTTCCAACACTACGAAGTCCAAACAGCGTAAGGATGCACGGCAAAATACGTCGGGGTGCACTGGAGCCCGAGGGGTTGAAACGGCGAAATTTGCCGGCGACGAGCGTACGTTAGCGAGCGCGGGCACTGGAAGCAGCGCGTCGGGGGGCAACACAGTGAGGACTGACGGAACTCACGGTCCCAGCGCTGACTCAGAGTCCGGGTTAGTTCTGATCGGGAGGCGAGATCAACGGGGCAACGGAGCTTGACGGAGCCGCGGGCTGATGGGAATCCTTGCTCCCGTGCTCCCTGCGCGCCGATAACGGGGATAACGCCGAGACGCCGCTAGGGAATGCGGGATGACCAAGACAAACAACGCAACGCTGCGGTGCGGTGCGGTGGCGTCCACGCGAGAGACTGACGAAGAGCCACAACATGAAATGGGTGAAGCCGGGCGCACTCCTCAATGAGAGCGATGGAAAACTGGATGTACGGGGCGCCCCCAGCCCCCTCCCCCACGCCCCACAGTGGATCGAGTCAGTGCACTGGAAAAAAAAGAATCTGAAATTTGCCGCCAAGAAGTATTTCTTCTTAAATCAAGAATTTTGCTGGTTAATATAAGCTACTTTTTTGCTTAACACAAGCATTATTTTTCTTGAATCAAGAAAAAGTCAGCTTAAAGTAAGATAAAGAAAATTCTTGGCGGCAGATTCAAGAATTATCATGCTTGATCCAAGCTACTTTTTTTTTTCAGTGTGGGAGAGGTCAGACACGATTTGGAAACTTTAAACGCTTTTAACTCTGTTTTTACTCAAATTTGAGGTTCTTTAAGTGGTTCCATCGATTTTCTTGTGAAATTTTCCTACAAGAGCAACCCTTAAAATTTAAAATGCGACGAATTATATATCAAAATTTTTCGGTTTTAGTCAAACATTTTGCGTCCGACTTCTCTGATTGACTCGATCCACTGTGCGCCCCCGCAGCTCCTGACTGACGTCGTCGGAGACCCATCTTCCTACAGACTCCGAGATCCCCGAGGCCGAGGTGGGGGTCAGAGATGGAAAGTGAAATTTCAGAGGGCTCGCATTTTCGCAAAATTTGACTTCTGTTAATTTTCATCAGAATTATGAATTGAGGAATTTTTCGGTAAAAGGGCGTATGAGACTTCCGATGCTGCTAAGATTGCGCAGCGCGGTTCTTCAGTTGTAAGTAACTTATTCGACAGTTCTGCTATGAATTTTTCCCTGAATCTGCTCTGAGATTTTCTTCATCATTGTAAGGAAGTTTGACTATGAATAATGAATTTCATCTGCCACAAATCCTGTAATAAATTGCACAATCTTAGCAACATCGCAAGCCTCATATACCCTTTTACCGAAAAATTCTGCAATTAAACCCTCGGAAGTCCGGAAGCGTTTCAGATGATATTCCCGTTGATGTGGCAGTACTGTGCTACCCTACGGAGTGGAGGTGCGATACACGAAGGGGGGGGTCCAACAAAAGGGGGGGGGGCTAGAGAGAAGTGTAGACCCAACCAAGGCTTGAGAAGAAAAGTGTCAAAATCGCGAATTACTGATTCCAGGCGTTTCTTGGCCTCCTAAATGCATCCCCAAAAGTTTCAACAACTTTCATGAAATTTCGTTTTTCACGCGAATAAATTTCAGGAAATTTTCCATCTCTGGGCGGGGGCGCTTAACCCCCACAAATCAACGTGGCCTCTCTCAAGAAATGAGAGGGATAGTACTAAGTAAAATGGATGCACTGCTAAAACTTGGAATGAATTTCTGTGCCGGGGTGCTGTAGCGCCCAATAACCCGGAGTGATAAACGAATGTCAAATCTATTCTCCGTACGGAGTGACACACACTCTTATGAAGCAGTGTCTTCTCTCTTTGCCGAAAAGTCATTCGCCCATTCATATCACATGGTGTTTTTCACCACCCCCGGTGGTGGGGGGCTAGGCCCCCCAGCAAAATGACCTAGCTACGCCTATGATTAGTCTCTTGCAGAGTGGATAGATAGGTGCAGATAGGTGCTCTTTTTGGATAAGCCAGAACTTTTAGCTCCTTGGTGCAAAAGAGATAATGCATTTATAAGGCTCACATCGCAGTCGTCTGCTTAATCTTATATGACTGAAATAAATGTTAGTTCTGCCTGAAAATCTTTTGGAACCTGGCAAGTTTTAGTGAATGCTTAGTTAACTGTTCGTTTGTGAACGCCGGGAGAGCCTTCAAATACTGGCTATATTTCCCGCTTTATCGGGAGGGTAGTTTAGTTGCGTGACCCAACTGAACGCTTAGAACACCTTCAAATCTGGCGATACTCCCCACTTTGCCGAGAGGTTAGTTTAGTTGCGTGACCCAACCGAACGCTTTGAACGCCTTCAAATCTAGCGATACCTCCCACTTTGCCGGGAGGTTAGTTTAGTTGCGTGACCCAACCGAACGCTTAGAACGCCTTCAAATTTGGCGATACCTCCCGCTTTGCCGGGAGGTTAGTTTAGTTGCGTGACCCAACCGAACTCTTAGAACGCCTTCAAATCTGGCGATACCTCCCGCTTTGCCGGGAAGTTAGTTTAGTTGCGTGACCCAACCAAACGCTTTGAACGCCTTCAAATCTGGCTATACTTCTCGTTTCTCCGGGAGGTTAGTTTAGTTGCGTGACCTATCTGAACGCAACACGTTGTTAGTTTACATTTACTAGTTAGTTTGTTTCATTTTACTGCACGCAGCAAGCTGATACCATCAAAAGAAGCATTACAAACAGTGCTTTCTTTTTCTTCTTCCCCCGGACCCCCTATTGAGCTGGGGGATATTCCATACCCCCCAGATCCCCCGGTGGTGGGAGGCCAGCTCCCCCCCCCCAGCAAAATGACCTAGCTACGCCTATGTGGGTAGTTTTAATGCTGACCATTTTAGATTTAGTCGAGTATTTTGAAAGGTGCCTTGATGTTGAATTGATGTCAACCCATTTTCTACAGTTAGTTTATGGTAATTTTTCCTTAAACTTTATATGCAAAATTAATAATTGACCACTTACGAGAAAAGGAACGGACCTTGTTTCAAAGAGACAAAATTATGAGTAGAACTAATTTTACTGAGTTGGGTCGAGGAATCTAATTTCAATTCGACGATGTATTCTGTTTAGCGTAATGTACAATCAGAGAAAAACACACGGAAAAAATGGCCCCACTAATATAATGTGAATAGTACCTCGAATAGTACAGTGCTGACGTCACTGGAGCTTTATAATTCCCATTCGTTCTTATTGCCCTAGACCAGGGTGGCATGAAACGTAAAAAAGAATTGAAAGATTGGAAATTTCAGTAAAATATTTCATGAAATTTCACGAGGCTGTGAAATATTTCATATTTTCCAGGGGCTGAGTATGCAAGCTGCACTCAAACCCACAAAAATAGAAGAAAGTCACAATTTTTACATTTTGCGGAACGTGAAAAGGAACCGGTATTTTTCATATATTCCATCAATTTCTGAAAATTCATGAAATATTCCTCGTGAAATTTCAAGATTTTATTTTTCATGAAAATTTGCCACCCTGCCCTGAACTGACGAGCACACCTCTTCTTTCCCACTCAGCTCTCGTTCCTTTTAAGCATAAATATGTCCAATTTTGAGTCTCGAGGGACTGCAGTCCCTTTACTGTGAACTGTCACACAGGAGAGACTTGAGAACTTGGCTCTGAGCAGGGTCTGCGTGACGTTCAGTGCGACGGACATAAGTTGACTATTCTCCAGCCGGTTCGAGATCTTGTCGCGCTGGTGTTAGTTGGGCGCCTCGCCTTCGAAAGTTCGTGAACTTGACTGAACTTGAACCAACTGAAGCTCAGGCACCTCTCGCAAGTACGCATTCAACGCATTCATTCATACTCGCTCATGAGCTGGAGAACGGTGATTGTTCGGATCGTGTTTAGATTTGCGCTCTTGCCGCTGGAGCGAACCTCGTTGGCTTCATTGATGAGGTTTTTTAGTCCTGTTAGAAACTTTTAATCACGGGAGGCTTTTTTCGAACAGGTTTTTTACTTATTCTCATTGAAATAAATTTCAATTTTAATGACATGTTTAAGAGAATATCTTGAACAATGGCTGGTCAACATTCGGAGAATTTATACAAGGATGAATTACAGATTTTTGTAGATCCTCAACTTTGCCTTCGAAAATGCTTGACTACAAATATGAAATGCGGGCCGATCATTGAAATTGATAGACAAAGCTATAGACAAAGAAGACGTACGGAGTTTGGAGCGATCCTATTGGTTGAAATGGATGGTTCTTAAAGTCTAGTCTTTTACCTGCGTCCTTTGTCCATTGCAACCACCTGCTTCCACCCATAGGATCCTTCCATGACCTTTTTGTCTTCTTTGTCTATTGTTGTGTCAATCAATTTCAATAATCAGCCCGCTGGGATGAATTTCACAATGAGGATCGCATTCATATCAATCGAGATTTTTGGGAGCTACGTAGACATCGGCATCGGATTTCACTTCTCGATTTTTAACATTGTACCTACAATTTTTTAGTTGGAAACAGGAGCCTTTTTTAATTTCTTACTTTCATTTGCTATCAACCGCTAACATTTTCGGGGAAGAATGCCTTAAATTTAAGGAAATACACGAATCGTGAATCAAGCGCGAGTGATTCACGCTTATGCACGCCGTCGAGATTGGTGAAAAGAGGCCTCTCAGTTGATGAGTCTGGTACAGTCTCATGGAGCCTTGCCCCGACACTGTCTCTCCTCAACTTTCACTTTGACACGGAGTATGCCACTCTTCAGTTAAACTACGGTTGACACGGCTCGAGTGTGGTTCCAACAGTTCGATTTTCTCCCAATTCTCTCTTGTCTCTTCATTTTCATGTACTTACCTCGTGAAATTTTCTCTCAATTTGTTGTTTGTTTTACTCATTTCTTCCATCTGCTTTTCTTCCGCTCTTTTGCCTCTCCTTCCTTTTTTCTTTCTCCATAACAGCCGTGCGAAGGAAAAACGCAAAGCGAACCTCAGAAGTTGCCAAATTGTCTTCGATAAATTACGAAATTATAGGGTGGCTTGTGTATTTTTCCCCCCCACATTTTTTCTAATAATTTGATTCGCAATTTAATCTACAATATCTGAAAATTTTAAGAAGAAATATTCATAAATTTCCCATACAGGAATGTTTCACAAAGGAAAATTTCGCAGTATCTGGATATTCATACGCCATTTTTCCTTAGCCCGGCAGAGTAGGAGCATCGGCCTTTTACGCGAGAATCTATGAAAAAAAGTCGAAAAGCTCGCGAAAAAAGGGTGTCCAAGAATATCAATGGCCAAAGTGCGAGACCACGTATCCTAGTCTGCGACGTTGCAGACTTCCTGTCGTACTTTATTTTTCGCTTGAAAAACTAGTCAACATAATTT